ACTCTAACCCCGATACCGGAGACTTACATCGATATTTTTGTACCAATAAACTTTCTATTCGTCCACACGCCTTCTGATCAAGCCCAAGCACGCTACACCGGTTGCGAGGAGTATTTAAGTTTCAAATGGGGCGCCAAAGCCCAGATAGCCAATCACCTCACGAGATTGTCTTTCTATTTCTAGAGGCCAAGCAGGAGCCAATGAGCGGACAGGAGCAGCCTGAACCCAGTATATTAGAAACCCCTTGTGAACACTAGAACCGGAACCCTGACGTTGGAGACTGTTGTTGTGTTTTCTGTCAATATACCCGTATAACTGTCCATTAGTCCTCTTATTATGCCCAGGTGCGCTACACAGACACACACCAACTGCAGTAAATTCAAGTAGCCGCCAATGATTGTCATAGTTTAAATCAATGGAATCCTGACTTTTTCGGAGTGGGCTTTAGCGTGTGTTTCCTTTGTCTAAATGCCTTATCTGAAAACGATGCCTTATGTACTTAGCAATCGTTCTTATTCTTGATAACGCATGTTGCTGTTGTGGCGATTTACCCATCACTTTGACGTTTTATTCACTGTCTTTATGCTAATATCAAGCACCTCTTTCTGGGATTTAAAAAATAGGCCTTTTTCGAATGGTGTAAAAAGTTTTTTTTAAAATTTTGTTCAGCATTGGTCATTGATGAAATTTGTGTTTACTCTTGTGAAAACGCATGTATCCTTAACAATCGAAATCTGTTTGAGTGCGAATGCAGTTCAGCAAATATATGCGTATTTATGCATAACTAATATTGTTTAACGCATATATTTGTCTCTTACAGTTTGATGTACTGAGGAATCTAAATAAACGGTCCCTCATGTAATGAAACATTTGAAACTACAGAAATTATTTGGAGTTTCAAGTCCGCGCAGTGAATAATTCATGTTTTTATTTTTTTTGCTTAACTACTGTGTTGCTGTTTTGAAGTTTAACGCGATATTTTGAGAGTCCGAAATTCATCTCGTAGTTTCAGATATGGCAAAATGTCAGCCTCGGAAACTGAACTGTCCATTTAGTGTACTTCACAACATCAAGACATTGAATTCATGGTGATATATTAATATATGCTTTGATGATAGTATTGATGCCCTAAATATATTCCTTCTCTCTGCAATATATAAAGCCACTAAAATTTTGCTTTTAACTTCTAAATGTTAGCTGCTGCCAATTTATAACACGCGGCAACAAAATTGCATGGCAACTATGATGTTTGGAAGATTAAAATTAGAAAATTTTGACGCTACCCTCCATCCATGTTCAAGTTTTTTATTCAATTTCAAACTATTGACTTCAGCATACCATCTGATGCATTTTCTCACTTTTGCCAAATTTCGGATTCGAATCCGTTGAGAATACTCATTAGCAGTGTGATGACAAAAATGATGTGTCGTAACTGCATCCCTCTGAAATTTCGAACGCAATCTTTTTTAGAATTCTTCACTTAGGATCATATACGATTGAAAATTTCCGATTTTCTCCCATAAGTTTCATTTATTATACTTATGAATTCCTGCCACGTGTTTACTTGGTTGGTTATTCGTGTTCTGGTATTTAATATTTTAATTAAGACTTAGCCTTTGTGAGTCAGTTAACCACTCTGCATTAGCTTTTTCCGACTATCGATTTTCATACTCAACTTCATGGTTAGGACACAGTCATCGCCAGCTAACTAAATACTCTCAAATAAATTAAAATACGTTGGCTGTAACTCAGTTCGTTCGAGACGTGCAGACGCTCGTGTATGTATTGTGCTGTGATATGCATTAACTGCGGCTGCCATTGTATTGACCGGAAATGTAATATCTTCAGATCTCGTGCTTTTTAGGCTTGAATCCGAAATTTAACTTGATACACTTTGGCGTGGTGTTTTAGGTGTGAGGTCACGTGAGATATTCTCAGAACGACTATAAAGCGTTTCTACTCGAAATAAGTATACTGGAATTACGATTGACGATGAATGAAACAGCTCGAAGCACTCACTGCAAAAAAGAGGTTTAGGTCGCGAAAGTACAGTCTTACTGTTTGTCAGATAGCTCGATCCCGGTGTCACTGAACTTCACCAATCGTCAGACATCCATCTTATTTCCAAAATGCCAGTATTAATTTAAATTAGATGTGGAAAATCACATCTAATTTAATGGAGGAATTTAGTTGCTGGAGTCATGGAAGAGAAACCAAAGCGTAACCTCTGCACGTAATCAATCCTGGCGGACACATTCTACGGTAATTTTGGTACGTGATCTCCCCTGAATAATCGGCCTGTTATAACAAAACGTATAATAAGCTCCGGAACTGGATACGGGAATCAATACCTTTTGAAGAACATTTGGGACAGTAACATTACCACTTTGTTCCCCTATCTCTCTACTGATCCTCCCCTGTCAAATACTGCTTTGTTTACACAAACAGCAATGTTGTCAATGCAGTCCAAGCTCCTAATTTAGATGCTTCTAGTGTCCGTGATGTTACCTGAGGCATTTTCTGGTAATAGTCCTCAGCCCAATTAAATGTTCACTGCATTTTAAGATAAAAACGCTGTTTAAGTGCATTCAATCCACCTTAGATGCCGACATAAGATGACTAAATTTCGCTTGTGAGAACAGATCGATCTTGCATGCGTACGTGTAGATGCCTTGCTGTTATCACAGACCTTGATAATTGACCAAGTTTCGCGTATACGAGGCTAATTAATTTCTGTCAAATTCTCACGCCGCTAATTTCATCCGTAACTAACGCTAATCTAAACGGCGATGCGCTATGGTTGGGCTCGAATCAGGTAGTAATGCGATTCATGTGCGTCTGCCAGTCGACGTATAATAGTAAATCAGTCAAAAGGCTAAAAAGGAAATTGCTTTTTGGAAAGTGAAATGAGAAATGCCAAACGACGGTAGAGACAAGAAAGCGACTGTCAAAAGCACGAGCCCCAGAAACACGCCAAGATGTGGTACAATTACCTGACTGGCGTAGGCTTTTATGCATTTACTATTGTCAATCCACAGAAATCAATGCTTCTACATTTTACGGGACACTGAAAACAATTGACGGATGTACATACCCCCGTCGTGTTTTCTGCGAGCCACGTTGCCGTCTAAAACATCTTTCCACCAAGTAGTTCACTCTTGCACGCACCGCGCAACCCTATGCAGTCCTGCACACATGTCTACACACCACTTCCCGAGGTGTCGAACCAAGTTCTTCGCTCTGAACTCCTTAAGTCTTGTTGCAGCCACATCCTTCAACCAAATTTCGCGGAGAAATCGAGGTTCCTCAGGGAATATCACAACCGTGCGATCTCAAGTCGTTACATCAGAACGACAGACGCAGACAAAGGTATCCCGACTATTGTACAAAGAACCAAATATCGGGTTACACACTCCAAGGGACTTCAGGTTGTTACCGAAAAATAATTCGACGAATATAGGATCATAACCACGGGCCAGCGCTTAGGGGCTAGAAAGCAGCCATTTAAATGGGAAAGGCATAAAAAACCTGTCTAATCAAGAGCGTTTCCTTTTGAACGGATTACTCGCCTTTTGAAAATAATTTTATTGAGTATCAACAATAAACAGAAAATATAAACGTGATGATGCATACGGAGGGACGTAATGGCAATAAACTATGACGATGTGTTTTCGACTGGCACGGAAGCACTGTCGCGGCCGACTTCATCAACAACACCAGATGAAGTAGTCTATGAGAAACAATTATCAACTCCCGACTTAACTTACATCGCCAAGGCGCTTAAATGCATTTTGGAACATTGTCTTTTCACGGCGGAGGGCATCTGAGAGAGTAGTCTCACACATTTTTATCTTTCTTGCAGCTTCCGAATTTTCAGGATTGACTCTGAGTGCTTTTTTGAAACATACCAAGGCTTCTTCGTGATCACCCCGAAGAAGGTAGGCTTCACCCTGCCTGTAAAAACACTTCTCATTGAGCGGATCTAATTGAATAATGTCTTGGCATTCTTTCAAACACGAGTCTGCGGATTTCATTTTAAGACCGACAAGAGCTTTGTTAAGATGCAGAGTAACCCGAAATTTTTTAAGGTCCGCATCTTCTTTGCATCCATCCGTAACGACTGAAAAGCATTCCCCTTGCAGTTCATGGTACATTTTGAGTGCCAATTTGTATTTTCCAGCCTGAATATAAGATATCAAAAAAGCATCTTAATTACTTTAAGGTATTCATTTGCTTTCAACTTATACATTTCCAAGTGTTCCATCTGTTCTGCAAAAGTTTGAAGAACACCAACACTTTTCCTCTAAAACTGACCAAATGAAGCATTATCATACCACTTCACAAGACATGACAGTAACCTCATACTCTAGTGGTGAGTCCTTAGGAAGTCCATGTTGTGCATATTCAGTTTCCGAAAAAGAGTTACATCCAAGAACTCTCACGCGTGCCTTCCCGTCTTTGTTCATGTAAGTTAGCGCTCTATCGAGTCCTTCAGGAATGCCTGCTTCTTCAAAGTCGCCAACTGTGTACGAAATATCGCGCTCATCGAATAATTGTCCATCACAAAATCCCTTAATATGAATCTCGCACGTAACACCAGGCTTGGGCTGAATGGCCGCATTTCCTTTCTCCATTGTCGACATAAGCAACGTACCATCGTACTTATCGCTTACGTCATTACCTGCAATTGCCGCATCATATAATTACGCGGAATAAATTGTACCGTAGAAATCTATTAGTTCAATTTCGAACCGGCGCGTTTTTCCATCGAAGTACGCATAATCAGGAAATGCAACTATTTCACAAATTTCTCCAGGCTTCATTGTGGGTATGGCCAGGTCCCAGGCCTTAATAACCTCAGCTAAAAATTTAACCAAAATAAAATATATTACATTTCCCAACTCTGAATTTGAAGGGCTCCTCTCTATCACGGCTTGAGTCAAACTTCTGACCATGTTCTGATCCACCATGAAACGTCCCGACATAATGGACGACAACAGTATCATCCTTTATTGGATGAATGTCTCGTTTTCCTTCCTTGATAACCTTTTTCAACACTCCGCGATCTTCAGTGAGACTAAAGAAGTCTTCAAGGCTTGGGATATCATCAGCCATCGTCGGAACACTTCGAGAACAATCCACGCGGAAATGAACACAATGAGTTAAATCCGTCAGGTAACCTTGACTGAAAAATAACGCTTAAACCATAGCGATATAAAATTGCATCAAAACAATGCAAGGATTTACTAAAACAGGTTCAAAGTTTTTAAGTAAACTCAAAAGTAATATAAAAATAGGATATAGCGAATGCGAGGCCGGATGGCGCTGAAAAACAGGTCTAACACAGACGTCATAAAGCCGAACCTTTAATATGGACAAATATCGCAATTAAAACATGTTCAATGCCGCACAATAAAATCTTTCAAAATTTGCACAGGAAAGGATTTCATATGTTTGTTAAATGCATTCATGATCATCTCAATCAGATATTTTGTTGGGTTCGAAACACTGCCAAAATTACGGCTATCTGTTCTTTAATGTTAGGACATTCTTACTTACATATTTGTGTTATTTCTATTTAGATTTACTAAAATATTAATATTCAATTAAATATTTTAATGCGACAGAATTTGAAGTCAGAGCGTAACCACAACTTCCAGATTCCGCATCGAAAGAGTTCTTATTTGGCTGATCACGTATATCTTGTTGTTAAGACGACGAATTCCAGTGACTGACATCAGCAAACCGCCATGAAAATTGTTACAAATGTCATTACCTCCAAATTTACACGTAGATGTTTTCGGCATCCACACTAGCAGACTTTGTAAATTTATCCACCGTATTATATATAAAGCCATAAAACAAAACAAATAATTTAGGATAAAATGTGGAGGGAGTTAAATTAATCATAATGTGTCAAAGGCATGGTGTAAAATCAACGCGATATCCGACTTGTGTTCGAGTTGGAGGTAAAGGCGAGTTATCTTATTCTACATCAGCCTTGTAATAAAGCCAACGGTACTTTGGTAGGCTTGAAAAAGAGCGAATTGTCATTAGGTAAACTAGAAATGTATGCCTTAGAAAACCACAAAATAAACATTTTTATAGACATCAGATGTATACAGGTAGATAACCGTTGGGCATGCAGAGATAAACACAACTGTTCAAAAATTTGATCGTGATTGGAATGTAAAAGACGAGGCTTAATGAGACAACCAAATCTCAGTTATCACTAGAAGTGCAGTACTTGTGAAAGAATGAGCAACTCTAAATGATTTCCTGAAATAGGAAGCAAGGCCATAACTGTTATTCCTGCAAAACCGATATTTAGTCCCGAATAAATCATATCAGGGGCCAGTAATTGCGCTGCCAATGAAATGTGTGGACAATTCCCCAGGTTTTGACCTCAATTTAGAAATCGCAGCCTTCGACCTAAGCCCAAATGAATCAATACTTTTTCTTGAATTTATTTTAGACGAATTTAGCTCATTCGCAACCTTTGAACTCTACTTAGATTCGCGGCTTCTAATCGGCTAGAGAAATCTAGGCATTATCCACTGTGCCATTAGGTCACAAGCCTGGATTTCGGCGAAATTTTGAGAACCAATATAGAGCAATTAACGCAGTGATGGTTATCTCGTTGTATTTTATTATCATGATCATACACGTTGCATATACACAGACCAATTGTGCAATACGGTACACTTGTGTGTCATTCTCGCTGACATCAAAATAATCGGTTTTTTTAATCGGTTAAACCCAGGTTAATGTAGGATGAGTACTCCAATTTGCGTCTACTCGACTGTCCTTCCAAAATCGTCGAATCTCCAACTCAAGTACCTTCCGAGCTGTACCAAATGGAAATGTGTTGTTGGTGATTACTCTCAGATTCGTTTGTTACTCCCGAGGTTTGATGGTAATGCGATATCGTGATCTATCAATGACCAACTTCAGTCTCCTTATGATCGATCGCCAATAATCGCCCTGTCACTACTTTGTCACACAAAAACGATTCAAATATCGACGTTATGTTATGTACAATTCGAAAATCTGATCAAAATGTTTTGCTTTTACTTCACAATTTAGTATTTATCACTGCGATTCGTGTCTCACTTCACCCGATTTTTTTTGTACCGCTTTTCGCCTATATGCTTGTAATACCCCTTCAAGAACTTAGCAGGGCGCATAACCCATTACCATCCTAATTTCAATTGTTTATTCAATCGTCATGCATGTGGGTGCAAACCTTGAACACAAACGAAATCACAATCGCTCGCTTTTTACCTGTGCTTTCGGCCTATTCATGCGGTTAATTTCCACCATCTCAAGTGAATCGTGTGTACCTCAGTTCAAGCATTGGTTTCGGCACATACAGCAGTTCATACTTCAGCAGATCCTATTTTTATTTTACATTTGCGTGATCAGGTTACTAACGTATCATCGGTCTAAAATTAAGAAATGCACTGAACGGTGTTCACAATTCGCTCACACCATTACCGATGAGAGCGGTATGTTACATATCCGCTCTTAAAGTCCCCTGTAGTGGCCGTTTTAGCACTAACTTACAGCCCTCTTGTTAACACCCTGTAACAACAAGAGAACAAAGGCAAGAGGACACGATCGTTTGTTAGGGTTGAGTCAGCCACGTATCTCTGTACGGATGAGCGGGCGTGCATAACCACTACAAACAGGGATGAACCACTGTAATCGATAATCCCGCAGGCAGGGTTAACTCACGCAGAATTACCGACACTCTAACAATTGCATCACAATCCAATAGATAGTATTTGTGGTACACCTAGCTCATTGAATATAGCTTCTGATAAAGGCCTGTGTCTGGTGAAAGTGGCAATTCACCTTGACTAAGCCTTTTAGGCAAACCACAGAACAAACCTTCAAACTTCTACAAACACAGGCATTATGCTTTTAACATGCCGCCAGGGCCACGTGCTCAGCATGTACGCCCACGTAATTGACATCCACTAAGTTTACCCATAATAAGAAATAGGGCGCTTGAGTCACGTCAGCAAGACGTTTTGACTTCGGTAGAAATAAAACAAGGTTATTTGTTCGCTATAGTAAATTATCAGTTTTCGTGTCCCGAACTCGGTTGAAATGTGGGATCAAGAAGAGAATAAAAGTTGAGGACAGAAGAGTATAGCATTAAACGAATGTAAGCAAATAAGGCATTGATGAAACAGATTCAGAATTCTATTAAACGTGATAACATTTACTCTCACGCCTCGCGTGATATCTTACATTACTTACTCCTCTAACATCAAGTCGTTTCTGCACATGGAACCACACAACATGACGTGTCCATTCAATTAACTTCATAGAAATCACACAATGGAAACTCGGTTCTGTGTGTGAAAGAGATTTACGGGACGAATTTTAAACTAAACACGAGCGAAAACCAGAAATAGAGGAACAAGTAGCATTCCTCAGGTTAAAAGCATTTCATCGATTTTCATACTGTGTACCACATACACGGTCGCACGTAAGATTACCAAGCAGCGCTATGGCTACCTAAATAATGCGGGTATCACTGCGCATGCAACACACCGGTAACAGTTTGGCCGATTTAGCAGGCAATGAGTTGTTACTTAACAAGACAAAACAAAGCAAAGTAAGATTAACCCCGACTTTGGAAGTTTGATAACATACGCACAGAAGCATTGTTCCGCGTTTATTTCAGCTGATTAAAGAGATTCAAACTTAACAATAGCCAAATTAGTAAACGTGAAATATAGAAAAAAACACGGATACAAGCATGGGCAGTCAGGGAGAGAAAACAGTGAATTTTCAGAGGTCAATTTTAGAATTCAAGTTCGAACGACGACTTTGTATGTAGGAGTAGAAGGCCATCGCATCGGAAGGAAGAAATATAAAGGCTGACAACACTAGTATAAATATGAAGCCAACGATCAGCGTGACTAGAGACAAGTTAGTTAAGGATAACCGTTAGCACTTTCAATACTCGCGTATATACCCAGCATCATCGCCAGGAGAAAAAGCATTTCCCGGCCAACACAAATTAAGTAATCAGTTTAAACAACGATAAGCCTGTCGTTTTAGGAAACGTGAGTCACAAAAAATGACGACAAAGGACTAGATGCATGAGTCCAGTGACCACAGCTTACGGGGAAAGGAAACGAAACAACTCCCTGAATGAAAAGAGAACCTAGAAATTTATCCGCATGTAGTTTAGGTTTAGGATAAGGATCTACCCCGAGTCGTGAGTGTAATATCTTGCCATTATATGAGTCCAATAAAACGGACATGGAGGCGGACCTTAGGAAATAATGGAAAAAGGATACAACACATTCTTCTTTCCCACGGATCGCATATGTAAAGTCCAGTAACGTAAAGAAACCGATTGTACAACTTTCTAGGCGACAGACTTTGACATACCATTATTGGTTCTAAAATTAAAAACAAATATCAACAAGATGAGATATGGGCAAAACATATCCTATCAAAAAAACGGGAATGATTTTTTTCCAATGATTCCAAAAATTAATGTACGAACAACAAACACCAATTCGAAATTTTGACAACAAATACAGCTTTGCTACAAGAAATGACGCGTCATAAAAGTCATCGCAATCAATGATGTTGAAAGTTCTTTAGCGAATACGCATAAATTCAGGTTATTTTATCAATATAACAAATATTTCATTAAATCGCGAGCGAAAAGCAAACCCAAACTTATTGAAGTGGGTAAAATGAGATAAAAATAAACCGTGATCAAAGGCTCCGAAGGTCTCGCTTGCGAGTTTAGGTACAATTGGGGGTTTGAATGGGTTTCAACAACTAGGAGCTAGGAGTAGAAATTAAATAGATGCGATAGGTAGAACCACTAAGATACCTACTATGCGGTATAACTACAGCACCAAAACATTTGTAAGTAAAAAACGACGTCAGTCACAGGGGATCCAGAATTCCAACAGAGGTCCATAGCACTTTAGGCACAATCACATGCATAAAGGATATGTACAAGTTAATTGACATTTAATTTAATTTCGAGGTGTAGATATTAATGCCTGTAAATGATTATATTAAAAGCTTACAACCAAGATGTTCACACTGGCTTTTGACAGCAGTGTTGTGGTGAACCGGCGTATAAGAGCGCAGACACATCGCACCACGCTGGCCTCAGCCAATCCTCTTTCTCTCTGCGTTCTAGTGGCCCGCAAGGAAGACATGCAGCCAGCCAGAGAAAGACACGAATGAGGAGCAGTATATAACGAAGTGCGTGGCCAGCGTGGTGGACTCGAATGGACGGCGCTCGACGTAAAGCTCCGGATTTTGGTTGGTCACTGAAGCATTGTTTGTTGTACCAGTCTTAATACTAGGGCTCGGGTATTCTGAATGGTGACGGCCGGCAGCGCAGACATATTAGACAGCGCTGAACTCAGCCATTTCCCTATCAATGTGCGTTTGATTGGCGTACGAGGAAGCAATGCGGTTAACCAGACATAGGCAGATGAGGTGTTATATATATATAGAGCGACGCAGACAGAAATTGACGATAAGTAACGTACAGCTCTGGTTTGTGAGAATTCAATTAAGCTTCTTCACACTACGGCTCTGATATTCTATAAAGTCGTGGTCTAGCTGAATTTCTGTGTCTGAGAACGCACATACTGAATCATGCTGACCTCGTCTTGTTGGGTTTTGGATTATTAACCTTGCAGAACAACTATCAACGGAGCAAGGAAAAATCGAGAAGCGCTGCGGTATGGTTGAAGCTGTCAGTATATTCCATTTTGATGGACGCGCTTAATGAATAGTTCAAATTTATAAAAATCATGGTCAGACAAATTTCACCTTAAAGTATTGATGATACACGCAATGATTTTCAAATAACTTATTATCAAGACGTGATCATCATGCATCCCAGATCAAATGAAGCTATGACAAAATAGTGGCTGCGGTGTATACTTGTAAAATAATTTTTTAGAATATTCTAGAAATACAGATTCTACGGTTGCTTAGCTAAAAAAATTCATTTTTTTGTTTTGCAGTTAAATCAGCTGTTAAAGCTAGCAGCAATTGTTCAAACCAAGAACTGAGGTCCGTCTTTGCTCATGGTAGCTTCTGCTTGTGACTGCTTCTACTCTAGTTCTTGATCAATTTTTAAGATAACCTAGGTAATTGTAAAGTTACCAACATCTAGTGGCATGGCGAACAAATCAAGACGTCAATGTATTCCTTTGTAAGGCATTAATTTCATGTCAATGCACAATTCATTTATGGTCAACTGTAACATTGGCTCACACAAGTTGAATTATTTATTCGTCCTCGGTTCAAGAATTTGCGGTAAGATTATGTCGTATTATATTTTGTGCGATTTAACATCCCGTAACAACGTGAGAATAAAGGCAAAATGGTGATGGGATATAGTATTTTTTACATCCAAATCGATGATCAACTGTAATCAACAATCGATGACATTCTGTTAACCCTTAAATGTTCTTCACTAAATATTAGTTGAGGACAGTTGACGGCAAATAATCTTTCTTTATAGTGTCTTTTTGTGAGACGCAGCGTGCACTTTACAATTCTAGAAATATATCAGCAAACCGGGCTATTTGTACCAAGGGTCAGCCGATACGGGAGGTGGAAAATAGGAGAGATGTAGAAGAATTCATTGTGCATTAACCGTTGCTTGGGTATAAGAAGAGAATCCTGCGGTCATCCGTGTTGACAGCTTTGCGACGAACTGCACTCACAGTAATCTGTGTCCCATTTCTTCTGCTCATCGCATTATCTTAAATGGACCGTCGTAAGGTGCTTGTGCTGGCCTTTTGACGCCATCAGAACAAAATAAGACATCGGGGGAAACTGGAATCAATCAAAGCTTGTCCTGAGGATATTCTCGCTGATGTTGGTCGAATTCCTTTCACGAGGTTGTGGGATCAAATTTTGCGACCATTTTACTAAGGAGAATTAGAGTTGTACAATATTCAAGATCTGCATGCTTTAAATGAACATCTTGCTTTATCGTATTAAAAATGGCTAAACAAATTCAAAATAATTGCGACGGACTAGTAAGTATACGCAAATGTTGCAAAGATGGCTTATGTATGTCAGTTTATTGAAAATTACGAAAAGGCTTGATATTTAAATTAATTTCAAATTAATATTTCATTGGAAAATACGACATAAACTAAAACTTTGTGTACATCTACTGGTAACTGATAATTAGAAAACATGTCATGAGTTTCTGACTTTATAAGTCTTGAGGGTCTACACGTTCAATAAAAAGGTAGATAAGGCATAAAATCAAATTAGAGAGATGATGCTGTGAATGTGGTTGAACGTTCATAGGTAGAATAAATACGGTCTTTAAGCACATCGTCGTTCTAAATTCCAAGTGATGAGATCGAAGTGGATTGTAGAGATATTACAAAGATAACGTGGTATTGGTAATGCCGACATGTTCCGACACTTAGGGTCCACTTTGAGAAACATGCAGGTTAAAGGAAGTAAGAAGATTAGAACGCACACGGACAAAAAATGAATTCTGCTGAAGTGCTGGTTTCCAAGTACACTATCCTATAATGCAAACAAAGACTTATTAATCAAACGAGGAATTTATTCGTCAAAAAAGGTAGCTTTGATATAAAATTGTTGACCTTTGCGCAGTACACGTGGACTTTTTTAAACTAAAAAACTTGTTATGCGAAAAATTTAGACATTCAAATTAGTGATGGAATGGAGGCCAAATACGTCAACTAGGAACTTTCGGAGGTTTTATAATGGATGGACAGCCACGTCGTGTGAGTGTTGCGTGTATGATGGCCCAAGTGTACCAATGACTCACCCCCTTTTTTATTAGCCTTGGTCATTATTCACCTGTTACGCACGAGTACTCACACGAACACAAAGCCACTTAGCTGGTTTGGCATCAATAAACGGTCGTGTGCGCAGTCGCCTCTTTTCAAATCTTGTCGAACTGTTACGAGCTGTTAAGTAGAGGGCTGTAAGGTCGCGCTAAATCTCTAGCTACCGCAGTTTTCCGCATTTAAGTTTTACTGTCACAGTAGCGCAAGTGCCTTGATTTTAAATTTAAAATAGATACTTAAATTTTAATTAGTTTTTAATTGAAACAAGCATTTAATCTTTTTGAATGTTGCTTTGATTTGCTATTTCGTATATAATATGTTTGTTTTATTTGATTTCAACATTTACTTAAGTTGTGGGCTTTCGAATTTTTCTTGCTTTTTTTGATTGGCCTTTTGAGGGCGCTATTTATGCCTGATGAAGGTGATCTTGAGCCTCCTGTAGAATTTTGTGAAATTTGCAATAAGACGTTTTACTCAAGTTCAAAAGAACGTATTGACTTACATAGAAGTTCTTGTTGTGAACGGATTGTAAGACCATTAGTGTTTTTGTACGTTGCTCTTTAAGGCCCGTTCTGTGCAATATTGTCCAGCCTGCAATAAAACCCTTTCTTGTTCGGTAAGCAAAAATGATATACTAACGTTTTTAGACTGCACTTAAACATTTAAAGTCGTGCGCGGATATCCTTGGGATTTCATTACTTAATCTTTTTCATTTGGATGAAAACAAAAAGCTGTTTAATGACCAGTTAAGGTAATTAATATGTATTTATTTACATCCGTAGACCCACATTGGACTCTCGTCGATTTACAAAAAAACAGTGAGTTGTTCCCCACTATCTGAATTTTTTAAATTAACTCTATATCGTGTTCAATATTCCCGATTAATAATTGCTTGGTTGTCAATCAAAGGCCCCCTAAAAGTCGAGAAAAAAGAAAGATTGCTGCTGCCTTTTCATCGATTGACCATTTGCTGATTTCATCGATTGACCGGAACGCAATTTTCTCCAGTCGCCTCCTACAACTTTTGAAGGTATCCGTGCGTTCATTTGCGCCTGTTTCTGTTTCTTGATCAAACCCAAATTTTTAAATATATATTTATAAGATTGGGACTTTTGAACCGTCGAAGTCTTCGCAAGTTGGATCTACGAATTATATCACGTCCAGGCTCTGGAAGTTGGCTTCCGCTGACCCTAAACCGACATCTCTCTTGTCTAAGACCACGTACTACGTTAACTCGCTTTTGCACATTTTGAACCCCACCTGGAATGAACATGGTGTTAACCGTCTTCGCTTGTCTCAAATCCCTGGCAGAGGCCCATCTTCTCAAAAGCAGAAATTTCCACTTCCTCTTTCTCCGGCATGCGGCGTCACCTGTGTAAGTAAGCGCTTGCTTACATATTTCTGTAGTTCTTATCCTAACTCTTTTTTTCCTCCCCCAGAACGACTCGGGCCCTGCCAACTCTTTAGAAGAATGCAAGCAAGAACTTTTGCAAATTCATAGCGAAGTAAGTTAGTGTGTTGAAGGTGCTTCTGAATAAAATTTTTAAATGATATCAACGTCTTTGTTTTGACAGATGGAACTCTCCTGTCATCAAACACAACCCCATTTCGCAAAAATGTTAGCACGAATGGTCGGTAACCCAATTTGCTCCGATTTGTCTATATGCTTGGACTCCGGGGCCTCAGTTCCAGCGCATCGTTTTATTTTGGCCACGTGGGATCCCGAACTGGCGATTCTTAGGGTTGGTTTATCTCTAAAGTTTTCAATAGTGGCAGAGTCGTTGCTCATTTATATTATTTTTTAGGATAATACTAATTGTATCAGCGCTCCTGGCTTGAGCAGAACAGAACTGCTTGATCTTTTGTCTGCTTTGTACACATTCGATCTAACCGCGCTTTCTTCGCTGACAGCAAAGGCCGAATTCACTCTTGACTGGTCTGTCTCCGCACATTTTTCCTCCTTCCATTTATTTGCTTCTTGTGTAGCAGATTTTCCTCTTAATGCAGCTGGCAAATGTTGGATGTCGTGCGCAGCAGACTTTCTGGCAATAAATCAGCAATGGTTGCAGCCACCCCAGGCAAAGACATCGCAAACCTTCCCACACCCCCCAGGACCAGTGCTGTGTTTTCTTTTTCCCCCGTCTCTATGCCTATCTCCCCGCAGTCCCCTAAACCCGTCAATGAATGGGACAATCGGGCCTCATCCAGCTCGTTTGATTTGTTTGCATCATCAACAGATAATCTGAACAACAATGACCCCCTTGACGCTGGCACAAGAAGTAACGTAAGATTGCTTCTCACTCAGAGATTACAATTTGTCAATCGATCCTTTTGCAGAATAATGCTACTAAGCTTATTCTATTGCTTTACGGAAAGTAGTATTAAGTTAAAGGATAACGTGCCCCGTTTTGGTGTTTTGTGTCTGAAAAGCAGGCTTGATCGTGCATAAAAGTGATGCAAGCTAATTCTACAGCGATTGATGTTAATTCCGGTTTTTGAGCGTGTAGGGCTTGTGACTTTTGTAGCTCAGTTGCCGCTTTTCGGACGTATCACGGTGTTGCTAATTAGTGGGACAATATCAGTCCATTTTTTTAAATTCTATTATTTTCTAGCCCTCTCCTCGTGCATCGCCACTTAATTCGACTACAATTGCGCGGCAAAGCAGCGAACAACCGGATCCCGAAGTAATTGTGATTGAGGTAATTCAGTCGTTGAATGGTTTTGCGGACTCGTATGTTTGCGCCATCATTTTCCTTGAGTGAAATTCCTCATTGGGCTACTTAAATGCATCCCAACTTGCTTTGTAGGCGGATTCGCCTATTGGTCCGGGCATTTGCGACCCAGATCCTGAAGCTGTCGAAACTGTGGCCACGGAGGAAGACGTAAGTATGGGTTTTCACCCAGTTGCGCCCACGTCCATAATGGAGTTCTGCCACCCAATGCATCAGTAGTGGTTATTGTGCATTTGCATTGTAGCCACCGGTATTTGACTTGGCCTCACATTGCTGCTTGGAGGGTACTCCAGGTGTTGCTGCCGCATTGCCTTCAGTGTCTGGCGAACAGAGCACGGAGCCGGTGAGTTGTCGGTCTTGGTGCTGTTGTGATTTTTATCCTGTTTTCCTGTCTATGCGTCATGGGTTGAATAGACTATTTATACCAGAAGTAGTTGAAACAATTGTCCGAAGTAGGCTGAATGTCGGTTGTCTCTGCAACTGTGCTACAACGAGCCCGGTGAAAGCGCTAAGAGTCAAGAGCGCAGGTATTGTAAAAGGTGTTTGTTTTGCAACAACATATCTGCATTACAGAATGACTGCGAAGCGTCGGTGGGTTCACGTGTGACGCCAGGACGCACTAACTGTCGTGTGGCGTGCGATGCGGAAGTGGCGGCTGAGAGCATCTTCAGTGACGAGTCCGTGGTAACTCCTGCGCCATTGGCAAAGCGCCTCAGGATGACGGTTGATTTGGACGAGACAGAGCGTAGCTTGTCGTTATCGCAGCCACTTGTTGGCAGTCTGGACTTGGAGACCGGCGAAGGTGATGGTGGTGGTGATGGTGATAATGACTGCGTGCACAAGCTGGCATGCGAGGCTGTTTTCAGGACTCCTTCCCCAAACGCGAGACACAGTGGACGTCGTGTTTCTTCAGTGATTTCCACCAATGTGCCAATCACTCCGAAGCCTGCATTCGACCAGATGAGGACACCCGAGTTGAAGGTAAGCAGTCTCAGCTTTGGATTGGTTGGTGTGTGTGCGTGGTGTGATTGGTTGGTTAGGTGTGGTTATGTAAAGTGTAGACGTGTGTTTGTTTTGCGATTGGATGATTGCCAGCTAGCTCACGTGTGTGTGTTCGAACGTTTTTTCCTACAATTCAGAAAGCCCTCTCGGACTACGGCGTTCGGCATCTGCCAAAGAAGAAGGCGGTCCAGCTGCTAGACCACATATACGACGAACTGCATCCGTGTAAGTGAGGTTTTGCATGTCGCAGTAGCATAAGTTTGCGCTTTATTTGCAGTCGCAGATGGTTATTTGAAGAATTACCAAGGTTGTTTTTTTTGAGGTGAATTGCACTTGTTTGTGGGAATGTTTCAGGTTGTGTGGAGTCTAGGAATGTCCGTCATAGTTTCGACGTATATCAAGACCTAGGCGAATGGCCGTGTTAATTCTTGCATGAGTTTTGTCATCTAATTGTGAACGCGTTATAGGTAAAAGGCGAATAAAGTGTTAGTGAAAGGCGGTTGGTTGGCTACGGTGGTGAATGTGACTTCCTTAAATCCTCTACTCTTCTTACAGTTGTCGACACGGCTGCAGAGCCCCACGAAATGGACGTGTGCGTTACCTCGACCACCAAACCACTAGCAAGTTCCCATGCTCGTGTCACTGACGTCCGCAAGAACGAGTTTCCAGTTGAGGAGTCGATGAATAGTGAAGAGGTAGCCCTTTGTCTTTGTTGTAACGGTACTCGGATTATGCTGCCACCAAGTGGGCACCAAGTGTTTTTGTGTAGGCCGGTCCAGTCGCGAGGTCTACTTAACTCCTCTGCGGTCTTTTTAGCCGTCTTATGACGTCGATGTCGATGTAGCTGACCCTACCCCTTCCACTTCTGCAACACGTGTTGATCCGAGTGAGAATGCATCGCGCCGACCTGTGGCGAAGGAGGTTGGTGTTCTGGCCTTAACTCCATATTGTGTTCTTTCTACGGTTGCTTGTAAGCCGTCAGCGCCATACAATGTCCGATCACATTCAATGTCTGTGTTTAACGAATTTTTATTCTCATTGCGGAAAGCTTCACCTTTTAGGCTCAAAACGAGGCTATTAAAAGACGCGTCTGGGAATGTCTCCGAAGTAATGACGAAACATACTACAAAATCGTCACCTACGTGGTAGGTTAAGCCGGCTATCTGATTGCTTTCGTGCATTCATACCCTTGTTTTCGATTCTATTCATGCATTAGCGAATGTTATACGCTTGCATGAGAAACTGCCATTCTTTACTCTCGATTCATGGTGTTGATTTTCTGCAGCCCGTATCCTTAGACTTTATAAAGGCTCTGTTACGCGACGCCGGGATAAACGTTGGTTGTCGGCGTCTATCTGACCTCCTCGACGGTTGGGTAAGCAGTTTCCTGCACACTGCCTTTTTTTCTGCACCGGTTTTAACACGTTTTGCTGTTTAGGGAGTCACATTCACAACGAGGAGCAGGCACGCCCCGAGACCAGGAATAAACACGAAGGACCCAAGACACGCGACATATCTGTGGTGATCGTGTACAGCAGCTTGTAAACATGACGTGTATTTTTGTAAATTGAAGTATTTTGTAATTTGAATCGATGATCTAAATGGGTATTCGGTGTTTTACAATGAATAGTTCGCCCACCACAATCTCCCCCAAGGGTACTCACGCCCTGTTGTCTAAGCATGATAAAGAATTTCGCGACTGATCGTGGAATGTATGTGGCAAGTTATCACAGGACACTGAAATATCACATTTGTGTGGGGTGTGAACTCAACCCAAGAGGTCAGCAATATCCGATTCAGACAAGGGAACGGTTTGCGTGGTGGGATTCGATGTGGGCTGGGGCTGAAGAAGAGGTGGCTGGTTGAAGTACACAGGCGCCGTCGGTCGGCCATACATTGTGGACGTTGGAGGGAGTTGGTTGACGAACTGTTGAGGAGGGTGCGTAGGTTCTTTCGGGGGTAGCACTCCACCAAACGCCTGGTAGTTGGGTCGCTGTTGTGGAAGGTGCGCTCCCCCGAGGCTGTTGAACGCAGACGCCTGAGGGAGCGTGGGTCCAGTGCTTGGTGGCTTCCAGTTGAGCATAATATTGGATTCAATTAATTGGTCTAAAATTGTTTTAACGTCGTCAGGAACGGAACGTGGAGGAGTCATGTGTGTTGTTAATAACACCAATTCCAAACTTTTAAGAATTGCACCACAGCACAGCGTTGTTGAGGGGATGGTGGATTGGTGTTTGACGACTTAAGCACAAGGAATTCACGGAATAATGCTAGCGTCTTCTGGCATTAGACCAACACAAAAACAGTTTTGTACTTGGCTCAAAAGCAGCTCATTAGTTGAGAAACACCACCATTAGTAGCTACACCAAAGTTCTAGGCGAGGCAGTCGTTGAATCAATTTTGCACCCACTTTACCACCAAAGTAGAACCAGGCTTTGATCGGAAATCACCAACCTGTGAGGTCCTTGGGGACTGGCTTCGTTGGAGGGATCGGAGACGTCCTTGGTGTGAGGAGGTCCGGCTGCTGTTGGAGTCGATGCAAATTTTCCGCGCCTGCCATTGCTCTCTTCTTCTCTTCCAGTGTTCGGTGCTGATTGACGAACCCCGCTTGACTACCACCACCATCGCCAACACGTCCGTTGCTAGTCTTTGCATCGTCGGAGGCGGGAATGACACGTTTGTGAGACCGGTTCACTCCAGCGAGCGACGACATCAACGAATCAACCTGGGGGGTTGCATAATCGAGGGGGGTTATCTTGGTCAATGAGAGCAAATGACTGGGGTAGGGCGTTAACCTTACTATTTCCGGCGCTGTCCCGTTGAAATTCGTCGTTGGCGCCACGATTGCTCTACAGAACAAAAAATATGTGTAAAACATGACAGTCGACAATTTCGCATTCTACCGGAGGCAGAAGCGCTCACGCTGCATCTTCGCCAAGACTGTGAATTTCAGCCAGCTTGGCGCGCTGTTCGCTTTCGATGGCGGCGAACATTTCTCGCAGGAGATCCGCGAAGGCAGCGTACTGTTGAGGCGAGAGGTTATAGTCCATCGAGATTTGCAGTAAATGTGGAATTGACCTCGAGGCAAGGACGTCCCGCGATATGCCCAACTGTTTGTGGCTGAAAGCGATCCGATAGATTGCTGAAGATTGAGAGGAACAATGATTTATTGCAGCATCTAATTTAGCAGCTGCAATTTTGTTGAGGTAAGAATGTAAATACTTGGATGGAAAGGCTGGTAAACAGATATCGCAGCAACTGCAAAGATCCATGGTTACTAATCATCTATTGACAACAATCTGTGTTTACATAAATAACTGTTGATTAAAAACGGCTACGCAATTATTAAGCAGACACGACGCGCAACGGTATACAATGTAGGCGCACCTAGAACAGCCACGAGGATCTTCGGCTCACGTGACCTGACTTCGGTGAGGAAAGCGAGGACATCGTCCATGGCACACCACTTGTCCAAGTACTCGAGCATTTTGGCCATGCATATCAAGACTTCAAGGCGTATCTGACAAGGCAAAAGAACGTGGAGAGATTGACAGATACAGTTGGTGGACGGCGGGGTGGTAGGAGGGACTTACGTCGACCAGTTCAACGCGGACGTAGACTTTCTTGAGGCGCGGGATGATGCTGCTCTTCAAGACACTGTAGTCCATTAGTTGGGCGACCTCTGGTAAACTCGCCAGGCACAGTTCCTACGAAACCGCACGAGGAAGTGGGAAAAAAGAATCAATTTGGTCCAACAACTCGGAGACCTTGACAGCCAACCCGACTGCCGCACAATTTGACAGGCTCAAGCACAAACTCTTTGCTGCCGAATACGACAGGCCATGGCTGTTCAAATCCGTCTGTGAATTCCTTCCAGAATAGTGCCAACTGTAACTGGCATAATTTCGGTTGTACGAACCGCAGCGACATAAAATACATAATTATATACGACCTATTTGGGACAGTGAAAATTGCTAACTGCTTGTGGAACTAATTTATTGCTGTGGGGAGTTGAAAACGGAATGAGGCTGCTGTACGCGACCGCACAAATTTAAGCCGCAGCACGTCTAATGAGTCACACAGAACGCGGACTTACAAGGACAGCATTTGTGTTCGTCTCGAGGGCAGAGTTCAGTATGGGCAGGGCATAGGTCTTGAAGTCAGCTGGTGACAATTTTGCAACCAGAATCCCCAAATTCTGCAGCAGCACTAGAATTATCTGCAAAAAAAACAAACATGGAACACATCAATCTTAGGATCTTCCACCGGGTGTTGATAACATCCTTTTTGGTTACGTAACAAGGCAGATAGTTGATGTTTACACAAGGGGAGTTCACGTAAGTCAGACAGCAGCCCACCTGCACAGGTTCATTTAAGGCAAGCACGTGCTTGAACCGAGGCATTATGTAGGCAGCCACGTCCTCCCGGCTAACCATATTGATTATTTGGAGGATTGAAGGAAGCACGAAGGGGATCATGCTCTTGTTCGAAAACTCCTCCGCTAGCTGAGGGAACACGCGATGCAAGTTGATGCGCTGAAAACAAAGTGCGCACGAGGTTAGGAGAGTAGTGTGAGGATAAACCAATTACACTGAATCGTTCCACAGATTACAGGTGGCAAACTTTTGATGGAATTGGGGAGGTTCTTGTAGAATTTCGATCGAGCAAGATTGTCCAGTTGGTAGAGCTCATCTAGACTCTTCAGGGAGGCAACATTGGCGTCGTCCAGGAAGGGAACCTACAAAATAACAGGGAAAACCATAAACGGACACACATGGGGCAAATTCTTACCAAAACCTGGGATCCAACGTATTGAACGCATTCGCGTTCAAAATTTAGAGATCGTAGTCACATACCCTTTTGCAAGCTCAGGAAGCACGACAATGTGGATCTCTAACGTAAATTTCGTTAACCGAGCCAATCCGGGATTCAACGGTTAGAACGCGCGCGATTGGTTAAAATAGAGCCACCAAGAATTAGGGTGAATTCGTACCTTCAGTATTTCGTGAGCATCCGGGCGAACAGAGACGTCGGGCTGAACTAACATCTTCACGTATTCTCGAATTCCCTCGGGGACATTGGCCAGTCGAGTTGGAGCTAGCGGCTTCAGCTGAAGAGTGGACACAATTCATCAGCGACATCAAATTGACGCATTTGACGCCTATCTGATCAAACACACGGTTCTAGTGTCGTAGACAGATCAGAATTTACACAGGAAGGTGTTCTGTTACAATGAGAGAATTAAAGAAATAATGTTACAAGACAGATGTGGTGTGAGTCAGTAAACCACAGCCTGAATTGTGATGTCAAGTGTTCACCGAAACCACTGAAGTGAGCTTTTTCCGTCGGCATTGTTTCCACCACGCCGCACTATTCCGACTGCCATCTGCTTACGCCAAAACTATCATGCAGAACTGCCTCCTACAACAACACACCAACACAGCCTCACGCCACACAACTAACCTTTTTCACGGCATCCCTATAAGAACCGTAGCTTTCGCGACAGTCAAGAATGGTCTCTCCGTCGTTGTAGAGAGCGTGGATCAACATTCCAACAGAGAAGAGATCACTGGCCGTGTACCCCCTGCCCTATAGAGGGTAACACTATTAAATACGGTAGCAATAATCACGTAATAGAAACATAAAAAGGGGTTTCGACTGAGCGATTAAAAATTCCCTGAGGATTATTAAGCGAGCCGTGTGAGTTGTTGCTTTCGCACAGGTCGTGGGGTCGTAGAAGCGTTGGAGATTCGCGAGGAGAATAGTAGTATGTGCCAGTTTGATCTACTCCCACGGCCAGCTGGGGCACTAACTGTCAACACTAACTGGCCTATGACATTTAAGCGGCCAAAAAATCTTAGTGGGCACTATTAAAATTGGTCTCGTAACATCAGAACTTAATTACAGGTGAGAGGACATTAGGTGGCTCTGTTTCCAATCTTATGGATTAAGCAAGATAACGAGGAATCCGAGGAAATCAAAATGGATAAAGAGACTACTGATTTACGCGGGTAGGAAATCAAATGCAGTCCTACCTCGATGACGACTTCAGGCGCACAATAGTCGAGGTGGGGTTGACAAAGTGGCGGGATGGAAGACTGCCAGGAGGGTACACTGACACCCTCCCCTCCGGACTCCGCTGTAGAACAGGAGAACTCGAAGCCGCAAAGCTTCCATGAACCGAGACGGTTTACAACGATTGATTGAGGCGACACGTTAAGATGGACTCGATGGCCGTCCCGGTGGATGAATGCCAAAGCCTCACAGATCTATGCCGCAAGGACAAAACTTCGAACATTAAAAGAGTTGTTCGCCGCAAGTACAACTATTGGACGCACATTCACATGAAGGCTTATTGCAGAAAACAGGCAGCACAAGAGGAAAAGAGAACAACTGAAAAAGGGAAACAGCAAAATTCCACAGTGCCGTATAAAAGTATGAAGTTCAGAGTGACTGCGAACGAACTGAACCATGTCACTTTACATTTTGCGTAGACTTTGTTTGAGAAAGAGAGGTGCAAAGGAATATCGGTCTGGCAAATTTTCTTTTGCATTAAAAAATGCAACACATGGAGCTTATCGAATGAGATTTGTCATTTTAAACACCGTAGAATAACAGTACCTGAATAATTCCATATTTGAGTTCGGTTTCAGTGAACTTAAAATTCCGCAATTTGTCAAGATTTGGGCCACTAAAGTTCTCTCTTTTTCCCAAGGCATTAGCCAACGAAGTGAAAAGCGGTTCAGTTGCGAAGCCGAGGCTTTCACGGGATTCCTCCAATGGATGAACAACTGACAGGACCCGTGGGTGTCGAAAGCGTGTTAGGGAAGCCACGCCTTCCTTTAGTTTTTCAATAATCATTTCTTTGTCGCGTTTTGAAAAACGATCAAGTAGCTTCTTTTCAAAAATCCACACAGTCGCAGGCTATTTAATGAAACGAAAGGATAAAAAGCGCACCGAAATACCTCCTTCGAAGACTTTTTCGATGCAGCATACAGTTTCCATAAAAGACCTGGTCCTGATGAAGCAACCTGAGCTTCAAGCTCATATTCTCTAGTAACAGGGTTGCCTGGAAGGGCGCCAGACACTGTGGAACGCAAACGAGTGATAATGCCGTCCATTGACGCCTTAAACAGGAGGATGAATTACATCTGGAAATGGCAAAAACAGGCCGAAATATAGAACAACCGTCATTAATAGGCCACTCTAACTAACTAGCCCAAGTACATTACCAGCCGATTAGACATATTTAGATTAATATGACGGGTGATGGTGGGTAATGAATATATTATCATAATAATTACCGAGCAGAGGGAGGAAGTATTTAGATTATAATTGAGTATATTTATCGGATTCAATTTGGTTAGAGCCCCTTCTCGAGTTAATATATTTAACTAAGTTTTTTCGCGAGTTACTAAAAGTACAACTCAACAGATTACGGGTACAAATTACACCAAAAATAATTGAAATAAGCTGAATCTACTCCAACACAAAAACCAAAATATAAATTGGTGAGACAAAAAATGTAATTATTGGGAAGAATATAATTTTAGAAAGACATACTAAATGATGCCGTTTTCTTATTGAAAACGTAGAACAACACGGAAGCTAAGAACAAAAAAAGTCCAACTGACCAGTCATACACAAGGCTTTTACAAACACGAAGATCAAGAAAATCCACCAATAGTACATGCATAAAATGCCTATTCGGTAATTCCACAGATTCGAAGGTCAGATATAGTTACAAATTATTGATCATTTTCATCAGCACATTAAGAACTTTTAGTGCAAGAATATAATGAAAGCGCTTTTTTAAAGCATTTTATATGCTGTTATGGATAACCAAATCTGTAGTAGATATGATGAGGCAAATACATTATATGTGAATTTTTGTAAATATTATTGGTACAGCAATCAATCATCAATAGACTACAAATAGACTTAATTATAATTTTTTTCACATTGTATAGATTGTAACAAAAGTCAATTTTAACCACCATTTGTTTCATGCAATATTAATTGCTTTCCTCCTTCTACCGAAAAATGGTACATTTAGGATAATAACAAAGCGACAGCATCGAATTTTCCGCTATATTATTGTAAAGAGTATTTTCTGCCATAATTCATGATTTTGCAGCTGCATTTCGACGGTTGCCTGTAGAATTGTCTATGACAAATTTCTGGATACCGAAATACGATTACACGTGTCAGAATGTCATGTACTACAATTCATTGTGAAGTGCTTGCACGTCTACTGTAAATTATCCTACCATAACACTATCTAAGTGGAAATTAGCTACAACATGATAAAGCTGTTCAACGTTTCGTCACACAAAATTCTGAAGGAATAAATTGGAGTGTAAACACTGGTTTATTTGCTAATGTGCATTTTATCTTCATTGCATATTCTTGAGTGTTTTACTAGTGTTGCTGTACACCTCAAATGGCATTTGCATTTGCATGTCAAGATAAACTCCTCAAAGAAAAAATTGCAATTCTGACCAAAGTGTTAATGGAACTATATGTAAAAATCATGAGCATATTATCTTGGATAAATGAGGACTGACTTTACAAGTTGGTTTTGATTTGGAGGCTACTTGATGGGAAAATAATCGAAAAGTATTTGTTTAGTTTATATATAAACCTATTCCATTAAAAGCGAAGGATGTCATTACAAATGGCTAACATTAACTGTTTGAGGACGCCTGTATAACTTTGATCTTCTTTCATGTTTTATATTTTGAGAGATTAATTTTAATTAAGATCATATCCTTTTGTAATGACTCATAAAAGCGCAGACATATTGGAACACGTCGGCTTCAGCCAAGCTGCTGTGTCTTTGAGTTCGAATGGCATGCGATGAACATATGCAGCCAAGCAGAAACTGACGCTACTGAGGAGGAGCATATAATGAGCGGCGTAGCCAGCCAGGACCTGGATGGATGGATCCTGACGTTTGGTTTTGGATTGTGATTGGTCAATTAAGCTTGTTCTGTTGTACTAGTTTTTTCCATACTAGGGCTCCGGTGTTCTTCACTTACTCTATTTATTTTACCTTCAAATTTTGCAATCCTTTAATTTTTCCGAATTTAACAAAACATTTTTCGGTATATAGTTGCAAACAGGGCCATTAATGTGTCTTATTTAGACGCATGCATTTGTGAAATATAAAGGTTCTAATCAAATGAAATCGAGAAAATGTGCCTTTGAAAAGACACTTTCCTCAATTTCGTTAGACTGAGGAAAGTGTTCGTTAATAAATCGCTTGTACGAATATAATTTCTAATTGGTTGCCTCAATTTACATGTCAGAGGCACCTATCGAGCCGTGAAAATTTAAACGCATAATGACTTCGTTTGTATAAAATTTTTATATACCATTTCTGAATTTCAGGTAGTGCTGCAAGCCTGAGTAATGTGTCGTCACACATATCACGCAAAAATTGTCGATGTTCACGAAACAAAAACAGTGTGATCTACGATGTATCGGATCGGATTTAGGTGTTTTATTTTTTACATATTTAATGGGTATGGGGCCTCGGATACCTCTAACCATTAGCACCGATCCCAATTCAACTGACGTAGTTTTGGAGCATATGCAATTTTAAGAGATCTGCTAATCGAAGCCATAAAGCAAGCAGTCCATGAAGAAATATACTACTCTGTTCGCTAAAATAAAAACCGACAGATTTGATGATGGGCGAAGTCATCAATGCACCTTGAAGAACTTCGTACTTGGAGTGAAAGTTAAGAGTTACAGGGTAAGAGTGTAAGGTAAGAGTAAGGTAAGAGAATCCCTCGTGGTAACCCGTGTCAAACGACAGCTTATTCTCATTCCTAACCACTGATACCCCACAACAGAATCGGCGAGTGGATTCAATGTTAACGTCTTTGTCTGGGTGCGCACGAATATCCCAAGTTTATCCTGACCTCAAGTGCATTTTGTAGTGGGCCCCAGCATGTGGTCTTGAACCACGCCGGGGCCACGGAATCAACCCTGGCCCGATTACGCTTCCCTGATACCCGCAACTAATACCATCCCATTCAATTTGTGCGTAGTTGACGCCATTACTAATGAAGTATCAGGTGTTGCCCTCAACTTTTTCTAGAATTCATTTGCAAGACTAGACTGATCCAATCTCATCCGTGTACGCCAGCAGATCATGTAGAAAGTCCTTCTTTTGATTTCGCTTTGAACCTTTTCCACATGCACCTGTTTAGACACCCGTTCATGACGCTACTAATCAATGTTTTCAGCCATTCTGAGGCAATAGTGCGCTTTATCCACAGCAGGTTAACCACCATTGCCTTAATCATCAACAGACCACGCGCATTTATATGTGCGATCCAGAGAATGGCTTTTAGAAACGTTTGAGGCCCTTCATCAAAGCGTTCTCTAGTGG